TTCATGGGAACCTATGCCTCTGCAGAGTTGGTCTAAGGACTGGCCCGATCAGGAGTTTTGAGAACGGGGGGGGGTGTTGTGTGGGTGTTTCAAGGGCGCCCGCGCGGCTACCTTCCTTCCTGGGTCTGTTGTCACGCAGGCCGGGAGCTCGTGTGCAGCCCGGGAGCTCGCGCGCACGCCGCCGGGGTCTGAGTGATTTTTTTAATGATTAATTAACAATATATGTCATACCCATTTTGTGTTCAGCACAATGCTAGGCACTTTTGGGTAAAATAATAGGCATAAAAAAATCATTCAGAAAGAAGGCAAAGGAAGTTTTCTTCATATAATGTGCAAGAAAATAGGTTAGCTAGGCAAAAATAGATAATTTATGAAACTTTTTTTGTCCGTACTGCTTTTTTTTAATGATTAATTAACAATATATGTCATACCCATTTTGTGTTCAGCACAATGCTAGGCACTTTTGGGTAAAATAATAGGCATAAAAAAATCATTCAGAAAGAAGGCAAAGGAAGTTTTCTTCATATAATGTGCAAGAAAATAGGTTAGCTAGGCAAAAATAGATAATTTATGAAACTTTTTTTGTCCGTACTGCTTACTGATATGAGAGAAACATTTAAATACTTGAAGAAATGTTCATCTTTATGGATAGGCAATTTTTATCAAACTATAACATTAATTAAGTGGTACACAAATTTAAAAATTTTGAGAAGTTATATCAAATGTGTGTGTATAGTATAATTGCAATTATTTAAGAATTTGTAGAGTTAGAAGATAATGTTCACAGAATAAATGTAGATAGTAATTGTCTTTGGATGATGAGTTTGTAGGTGATCGTTTTTCTGCTTTTATCTTTTCTGTGGTTTTTGGGAAAGCTTAACAGTGTGCTTGCAATACTCTACTAGGGTTGCTATAACTGAGTACCACATACTGCGTGGCTTAAACAAAGGACATTTATTATTTCCCAGTTCTGGGGGCTAGAATTTCAAAAACAGGTTGTCAACTGAGTTGGATTCTCTTGGGCCCTCTCTTTTTCTGGGTCCTCGTATGACCTTTCTTGGTACACAGTCATCCCTGCTGTCTCTTCCTCTACTTATTCTTATCGGATTTGGGACCCACCCTTATGACTTCATTTAACCTTAATTATCCTATTTATCCTATTCACAGCCATATTGGGGTTTAGGTCTTCAACTTATGAATTCGAGGGAGTGCCATTTAGTCCATCACAGAGCCATATTAACCAGGGTAGTGTAGAGTATTGGAAAAGAGTTAAAGTTGATTTGAATGACTATTTCAAGGCCACGTGAGTGGATAAATCTGTACCACAATTAGCTTATTTGTCATACTGGAACAATAAAATAATTTTGCAGTATGTTTGAGAGAAAATTAAATGGTACAATGAATATAAAATCACCTGGCATTGTTTATACTTAACGTTACCTTTCTTAAAACACGAGCACTTGCTTCTGGGAATTTTACAATGTTCTTGTAAAGACAAGTACATTAATATACTATATCAGATGTTGTGTAGCCTCACTATAGCTACTGTAGGAGTTCTTTCCAAGGCAGCACTCCTTGCCTTGCCTAAAGTGCCTACTGAAAACTTTTGAGCTCCTTCTTTCTTTCAGTATCCCTAAATGCAGATAACTGGTCAACATTCTCTCAACATGATTTTTGACCTAAGTTACCTATTGACCTTTTTCCTGGATTCTTTTCCTTCTTGAAAGATGTCTGCTGCCTGTCTTGATCCTATAGGGGTACACATAGCTCTGTGTGTGTGTGTGTGTGTGTGTGTGTGTGTGTGTGTGTATGACTCCACACATGTGTGCCCATGATTCAGTGTCTCGTGATGCATGTGGCTGGAGCGAGCCAGTCCAGCCCAGTGGGAGGAAGGCGGTCCTCCCCACAGGAGCAGTATTGCTTTGTCTGAGTGAGTTTAACTTCTAGTTCATTGTTGATGGTTTTGGTTCTCTTCCTGTTGAAGTTGCATTGAATTACATTTGAAAATATTTTTGTTGTTTTAGTGGCTACATTGACTAACTCACATACTATGATTATTTACTACCATCAACCGTATGTGTTTTTCTTTTTAAAATTAGCACAATTTTATTATAATATAGCTTTCTACCAAGTCTGTATTTAACTTTCTTAAAATAGATTCCTGTCTGGATAGGTGGAGAAATAGTCTTTAAGTTTCTGGAGACATAGCATTCATTATTGGAGTAATAAAAACTATAGTAGAAAAGTGTGGATAGTTAACACACTATTCGTGCTGTAACCAACACTCTTCCCCCAAACCAAGCTACTTATAGAGGGTCTCCAACATGAAACTTTTTGTTTATATTTTGTGACATTCTTTGAGAATGATTACTCTATAAACTATTGAGTTCTGTAATTATAAGGGGCTCTTATCAACTAAAATTCTGTACCCTCTTCCCTTATTCTCATATTCCTTTAATGGATAAGGGGGAATCATTGCAAAGCTGTAGTCTTCAAGACAGCTGCATCATGTGCCTGCTTTCTGAGTGGCTGGTAGCCATCTGCTGCTGAGAAACTTTCAAAGGGGAACTTGCCTTATTTCCCCTTTAAGCAAGAGCTGTGGCATGAATATGGCATCAATCAATTTCTAACAGTCATCTCTTCTTTATGAGTGTGTTTCCTCTGAGAACTCTGGGCATAGACTGAGTGTGTTAGGCAGAGCCCTTTCAAAATCCAGACTTGTTTTCCGAACAAATGCCAGATTTCCTGGGAAGGCTGGTTATAACCCCGTCATCCACCAACATAGCATGTCTAAGATTGTCTGTCTGGATAATCTTCCCTTTTTAGTGTTTACTTAAAGTGGAAGTGATGTTGTCCAGACCATGGGTAGGGATGAGATCATGTCATGAGTTTCCTTCTGATGTTGTTTTTCTCTTGGTAGTGTAGTGACATCAGGATCTAAAGGTGGATGGATGACTTTGATGACATTTCAAGGTGTCTTCCAGTTTTAGTCCTCCATGATTCCTAGGAAGACAGTGGGGAAATGAGGCAACCATGTAAGGTGGCAATTCAACCTTCAAGTTATTCACAACCATGGGAAGATGAAATGGAACTGTTCTTAGTATGCTGTGGAAACACTAGTCAGTAGTTGCCTTGCTAAAAAAATACTTTACCAATATGCAGATTGACTTCTTTAAGGTCCCAATCTGCGTGGATGAACAGTTTAATTTTCTCTTCTTCTAAGGTTGTAGACAGGAGAACGTTTTAAAAAACTATTCCATGAATTACTAGTGGACATTCCCTGACAAATCTGTTCCGTGGCCATATGGGTTTGGGAACTGCTGTGGAAGAAGAGGATGGAGTCACTAATTGGATATTCATGTTGTTATTCCTGATTCTGATATACAGATTTATCTTTCTTTAAATTGATTTAATTACCTAATTATAACTACATTTCACTTCTAAGAAATTGATGAAATCAACCAATACCCTAGCAGTCTGTCCTCTCTCTTTTTATATTAGATTCTTTTTACATGAGTGCATGTTTGCAGCACTTGGAGTTTACAGTCATTCTGGGGAGTAGGTACATGTACATAGTACAGCTTGTTTCTTTTTTTAATCTTCTTTCCTCCCACATCTCTCCCTCTTCTAAATCCCCTTTTCTCATTTTCATACTTATTGGTATTATTAATCTTAGTTCATATTTATGACATAGAATGTTTACACTTATTGAGGTTATTAAGTTCCTGTACATGGCATATCTTCATTTTATTTATTTCCTCTTCCCCTCTCTCCTCTTCCTTGGTCTCCTGGACCCTTTCCATTTGTAAGAGATCACTCTCCTTATCACCTGTTCATCCTTTATTATATTTGTTGTGTGAACTTTGCCTCACTCAAACAAGAGATACCATATGGTATTTAAGCTTGTATGTCTGATTTATTTCACTCAACATTATATTTTTCAGGTGCATCCATTTTCCTGCAAATGTCTTGATTTTGTCCTTTCCAAGTAGTATTCCATTATGTATAGGTGCCATATTTTCTTTATCCAGTCTTCTGCTGATGGGTATATAAGCTGCTTCCAGGATTTAGCTATTATGAATTGTGTTGCTATAACCATTGGTGTGCATGTGTCACTATAGCACTTGGGGAAAATACCTAGAAGAGCAATAGCTGCGTCATATGGAATTTACAATTTTAGTTCTTTGAGAAATCTCTATACTAACTTTCATAGTATAGTACTAGTTTACATTCACACCAACAATATAAGAGGGTTACCGTATTGCTGAAGCCTTGCTGGTATTTATTTTTTGATATCTTGATGATTGTCATTGTTTCTAGTATAAGATGGAATCTTAGTGTTTTAATTTACATTTCTCTACTGGCCAGAGATGTTGAACATTTTGCTACACCATTTGTACTTTTTACTCTGTGAAGTGTCTGTTCATTTATCTTGCCCATTTCTTGATTGGGTCTTTTATTTTGGATCATCTGACTTTTTTGAGTTCTTTTTATGTTTTAGATATTGATCCTCTGCTTGAGGAATAGCTGGTAAAATTTTTTTCTCATTCTGTAGGTTGTCTGTTCACTTTGCTTATTGATTCTTTTGCTGTACAGAAGCCTTTTAATTTGATGTATTCTCATTTATTGATTCTTGCTTTTATTTTTTGTGTAGTTGTGGTTCAGTTTAAAAATCCTTTCCAGGAAGGGTAGAGGAAAGGTAATAAGGGAAAAGAAAAAAATATGAGAAAATGAAAAAATGGAAATAAAGTGTTTTTAAATGGGGAGAGGAGGAGGGGATGAAGGGAGGGCAGGGACAAGGGGAAAAATGAGAACCAATACCTGTCATGTAAAGGTACAAGATCCATTGATGAATGCAACTGTACTGTATACCTAAAATGTACTAATAAACTCAATGAGAGAAAAAAAAAAATCCTTTCCTACACCTATGTCTTGAAGTGTTTTACCTATTTTATCTTCCGGTAGGTTCATTGGTGCTGGGAAAACTGGATAACTGTTTGCAGAAGATTGAAACTGGACCTGTATTTCTCACCAAATGCTAAATTAAAATAAAAGTGCATCAAAGATCCAAACGTTAAAACAGGTTAACATTCATGTAAGGATTTTATCTGTTCACTTGATCATTTAGCAAATGTGTATTTAGCTTTTCTTTCTACCAGTATTTTGGAGACCCAGTACCTTAACAAGCAGGAGAATGGGCCATGTCCTTCCTTTATTGACAGTGATACCATGCAACACAGAACAGAGACTGTTTCCCATGTTTGCTGGCAGTGAGGAGTTCTATGTGAAATATATTCAGGCTAGTGGGATGGCATCTTGAGTGTTATGTGGAGAGCTTTTATTTGGCTTCTGTACACATGTTAGTAGTTGGTAAAATAGAAGTATCTGATTCAGATGGCAGAACAAGATGAAAAGAGCCCAGGATTCTAATAGAGAGTGTTATGTAGCCTTTGAATATTAATGATTAGACTATAGATAAATAAACTTTTATCAAGTTAAGTCACTGTTGCTTTGGCCTCTTTATGGCAGTCAAACCAGTAACCTAACTGATTTAAAAAGGACTTCTAGTGATCAAGCACTGCTGTAAGATTGAGTAGGTGAGATATTGAGGAGTTCTTTTAGATCAAAAACTATAAAATGACAATCTCATTTTATATTAAAGGTCTAGATATAGGAAGTGAACTTTCTGAGCTTCTTAAAATTCTTGTTACCACACGTGGGATGAATAAAAGACAGCATGAGCTGATTTTTTTTCTTTTCAGTAATGTGGAGTCAATCACACCTTCTTGTCTCTATTTTAACCAATATGTATTGAGAAGTAAAGCTGGGTTTCCGTAGCTCAATTTGTCCTGTTCAGGGTGTGAAGATTTTTGACATGGATTTAAAGGTTTAAAAATAATCAACCTTTATTTTCCCAGTTCCATCTATTTATCTCTGTAAAACAAATCCTGTCACAGCAAACTTCCTTTTACCAACAAGGTTACCTCTGTCCACAAAGTAGGTATATGTAAACATGCAAGTATATGTTTAGATGTGGTTTAGGCATAAAATAGCTTCTTCTTCCTAAGTGAGGAAAACGAAAACCTCAATTCCCTGCTAAATGTGACATTTTTAGATCCAAGTAGGCAGAAAGGACCATGTGAAAATGTGTTAAGCTTCCACATAGTTAACAAGATGTCAGTTTGTGAGAGAATTTTCATAATTAATGAACCAGTTCAATTTGCTTTGTCAGTTGACTTTGATTAATATGTTGTGGAGTATTCCCTCTGGGACTCTTTCCAGTTAGTTTGGGAAGCTCTTATGTCTATATCTTGTGCATGTGCATGGATCAAAGTGCAGTCATCCAATACCTGTGATATTAGGTCACGACAGCCATGAAAGCTCAGTGACAGTGTCTGATATCCTGTACCAAACCAGCAACTGGCTAGTCCCACAACTAAGTGGAGCTCCTGACATAGCATTTCCCCAAATAAATAGCATAAGTCTTTCACCCTCTCTCCTGTCATTCCTCCTTCTGCTCACATGGACACAAGATCCATATGGACAGTCCCAAACCAATAAACACAAAATTGAAACCCAGTATTTGAAGAAAGAATTGCACCACTCATATGGCCATTTTATAGAGTCTCAGAAGCAGAATTTATATAATTAAATTTCATTCCTAGCTCTACTAGAGTTGGAGACTGAATGAAATGGCTTTAGCATCAACTTTAAATTATTTGATTAAAATTTGCTTTGTTGCAAACACAGTTTGTGGGGATAAATTACTTATATGACAAGTATCAGTCAGTGTTCAGCCAGCATATTATTCTGTTGAAAAACAACTGTATGCATTCCAGTGGAGGAATTTAACACAGACTACTTGCATATGATTTAAGATGAAAGCAAGTTAACTTAAATATTAGTAACTACAGGAAGCCACTCTGTCATTAGATTTGAATAAGCCAAAGGAAACATAGTTGACCCTCAGTTGATTCCTGCTGAACTACCAAGGATGTTGTGAATAAACTCAGCTGGCTGAGCAGAAACTCCCAAACCACACTTGACAAACTTTCCTGCTGCTGCCATCTCCAGATGTACTAGTGGAAGGTGGCAAGGTAGCATTCCTCTTACTTTCCCATTCCCTTTTGCTCCTGCTGCCTTCTGTGGTAGAACCTAACAAGGAGCTGATTGTGAGGAATCTGGGAAATATAGTTTCTAGGCCGTCTGCTCCTGAGTCACAGAGGAGAAGGAAATGGAGCTGACGAACTAGAGACTCTAATCAGCACTCAAGTGCTTCTAAAAATATATTCTATATAGACTTAGAGGAGTATTTTACTTGATTAAATGAATGAATAAGAGAAAATTCTGTTACTAGGCAGGAAGCATCTGTATAAATTGATCTTTGTGAAATCATTTAAAATTGCAGTCTCACATATACTTGTAATTCTAAAGTTTTATGGCTGCTAATATTATGTTGAAAATTATTCATGTTAATGTTTATTCAGAGTAGTCACCTTACTTTATTGGTGGAACAAGAACATGATTATCATATATGTTCTATCCCTTTGCCAAGCTAGCCCTGTCTCCAAAATAATCCAAAAGGATTAAATTTAAACAGAAAAGATAGTGAAGAAATGAGGTGAAATTCAGCCTAACCTTTCTCTATCTCCCATTTCAGGTAAGAACTCAGATGGCCCAAATGCTGGGCAGGTATAATCACAAAGGCAATCCAAGCCCAATAAATAGTTAAGTGTAATGGAAAGTGCTACAGGGAATCTCCTGGTGAGATTTTGGTGGTCAAAGCAAGCCAAGGTCTTGGAGGTCTAAAGAGGCAGCATATAAACTCTTTGTTCCTCTTTGTAGCCCAGCAATGGGAAGTGGGGAGGGAGAGAGAGAGAGCCGCCTAGTGGCCTTAGTGGTAGTGTATAAACGATTGGATAATTTTCTTTTGTGAATTCATTCCTTTGTCTTCTAGTGGGTCTGAGAAATGTGCCTGGAGGGCATTTTCCTCCTTGGTCAGAGGTGACTTAGCGACTAACAATTGCTGCTATTTAGAGCCCAATCACACAGTTGAAAGATCTGGATGGCACTTATTTCTGAGTAGTTTAGAACAAATGGGAATAGCTGAGACCACACTGACAAGCCAGAGGACTATAGGCTAGTGATCTGCTGGGGAAAGGTCCCTTTGATCTTTGCACCAGACTTTAGTTGTAGCAGAAGCAGAGTTGATGATGTATTTTTATTGCAGCAGGATGTGCATTACCACCTTGGATGTGCAGGTGCCAAAAGGAAGATCATTAGCTGATCTGTATCTTTAGTGGTGTGATGACAAAGGTTCACATTTTCCTTTAATAGAAGTTGTCTGAATATTTAATGAATGCAAATAATCATTAATGTTTTAAATCATGTGGCCAGTTTCAGCTCATATAAGATTGGATACTTGGCAGCCAACTTGAGTCTAGATGTGGCTATTTTCTTTTTTGATACTTGGGTTGGACAGCAGAAATTCAATCGCTTTTGTTAAATTCAAAATGGAGCTTGCCTTTGGATTTCCCTGGAAACATCTGCTAGCAGCCTGAAGGGAGCTAAGGGACTTGTACCCTTGGAACAGGCTTGAGTGCTCTTGGAAATGCTTCTGGCTTCTGGTTATAGTTATGCTAATTTTAAATAACAGAAGGGCTGTTTATATAAATATAAAGAGTGATCCTAGGAAGAAAGTGGGTGTGGGTGAAAGGTAGTCTGCTCATTTGCTGGTCTTGTTTGCAAGACAAGCATTTCATCACAGCAGCCATTCTGACTGTGGTCAGGATCTGTGGAAGACCCAGTACTTTCAGAAAAGGTTAATGTAATGTGCAAGGAGACTGGTCCATAAGTCCTCTCATTAAGCATCTAATTGAACTCATCAGAATTTTCTGGTTTCAGAATCATGATTTTTTTCTTAAACTAAATAAGTTATGATTCCTCTAACTGAACAAGATGTAGGGTGTGTTTATGACTGCTACTGTTATTTTGAACTTTAACATACACTAACAGGCTATCAATAAATAAATACTGAGTAAATGAACAATATAAGTTCTTATAACCATCAATTTCTCTGTAGAACTCCCTTTTTACTAGTGTCTACAGGAAATGCCTTTCTGTTTGTGTATATATATATTTGCCAGGCTTGCCAGTTCTAAGTTAACCACAGGAGGGTTTGCATTCATAAGTACACACACACTATGTGAAATATTAGGCAGATCAAATGGGGGTTTCAGAGATATCTGCAAGGATGTCAAGTTGGTCATTTTGTCTGAAAGAGCCCAGATCCTTTGTGAGAGACTCCCAGAGGCTGCCAAGATAATAAAGAGTGGTTGCTGAGTTATGTATGGGTGAAGCTTGGAGGTATTAATACTTCTGCTGAGGGGTGTGGCAAAGAGCAGAGTATGAGGTTTATAAGCTTGGCAGATCTCAGGCAAGGGGCCCATCAATTATAAGAACCTCTTCAGCTCCGGCCATACTTTTGGCTTGATTTTAAATGGAACTTTTAGAGGCCATTGGGCATACAAAAACTTGATAATGATGTTTAATTTTGAGAGTGAAGCTGTGGTTTCTCATTTACCATTTCTGGCTTCCATTGCTTTGTGTCAATACATTTTGTTTCCAGATTTAGGGTCAAAGGAACCTTTTCTTGCACTTAGTTACCCCCCCCCATGCGCAGTCTCATGCATCAACAAAAACAAATCCACCAAGGAATGTTCAAGTCTGTTGGCCTTCTCTAAGATGACTTTATCTACTATGTACTTTTTGGTAGCTTGGTTGTGAGAATTCAAGTGTGGGAAGAGGAAGTAGCAAAGATGACAGATGTCAGGAAAAAGAAAATTAGAGGTGAGTCATATCTCAGAAAGAGACTGGTCAGTATGCCTTGGTTAGTCTTAGCTAACAAGATTGAGTCGTGAGATGTAGAAGGTCTGGGATGTGTGTATATTTGGGAATTGGCAAACAAATCATGGAACCTCCAAAGAAATTTTCCATTAATTGGTTAGGAGACTTCAGAGCTTATAAATGCCTTTATTGAGTTTTTAAAAGCCGTTTTCCTAAGAATAAGATATTTGATCACTTTTTAAATCTTCATAAATATCTCAGAACATGATATCCCTATGTTGGAAGAAGATTCTGTTGATCATAACCAAGTAGCAGTGTACTTTTTTAGCTTCTAAATAAGATCTTCCTGTTTTTTGCCTTCTTAACCCTTCTTTCAGTCCCTGTCAACAGATCAGTGATGTGACAAGTTGGCAAGGTGTGGAGGGCAGCATTGGCAGAGGACTTTGTTGGTTCCTCTTTGGTGAGAGATAAGTTATTATTTGCCATGCAATGCTGCATAGTGGCACCATAAAATTCTGTGCCTGAAAACCAGAATTAATTGTGGTTGCTCATGCAACTGTGGGGGTGGCTGGTGGTCCTGATCCAGGTATGTGTAGTTCTCCACTTACTGTTCGGAGGTTAATCACAGGGTTAACTACGGCATGATGTTCTGGTGATGGCAGAGGGGCAGCAGGCAAGGCCACTGAAGTTGTAGGTTAGAAACTGGCAACTTTTCCTCCTACTTGCACGGCTTTTCATTGGTCAGAGCAGGTTAACATGACTGAGTTAGAGTCAAAGGATAAGGGTTCTTGTCATGACAAGGCTGGGCAAGGCTGTGAATGTAGAGAAAGGTTAAGATAGGGATAATCATTTGACTGTATTTTCTATGCCTATTTCTATATCTGTGTATATATGTGTGTTATATATGCTTATGTATCTAAATGTAAAATCATATCTATAATATATATTTTATTATATGCTATATTTAATAATCCATACATAGATTATCCAGAATCTGTACATGTGATCATGATTACATATGTGACTCTGATTATATGTGTATGTGTATTCCTATTTATCTGATTTCCTTGGGAATGCTCCTATCTGGCTTTCTCAAAGTTCTTTTGTTCTTTCTTATTGTGATATGGTTGAGATGTTTGTAACCTGTCCTGTTGGATGGAGATTTTCCTTGGAAAGGAAAAAAATATCCTCAACTTTTTATCTGTTGTTTTACTTTTGATTCATTGGATAGCATGACCTAATGAGCTTTCTGAGTTGAGAGCCTCAATTTTGAATTTTTACGTTCATTGCTGCTAGGTTAAGCTGAGGGAGCCAACTAGTATTTAAGTTAGAGATGAATTTTTCTTTGAAACTTAGAAGTAAGGATGGTTTGTTTCTAGGTAAGAAATAACAGTAATTTATCTGGGCCTATGATGCTCATTGTTTTAAATAGTTTTCCTCTCCCAAATGGCTGTCTCTCCCTACTTCCCATCCTTAGACTCGCCCAACTTCTGTGAGTCGATGTCTGCATTTAGAGCAGGCATAGGGCTTTCTGCGTCTCTCCTTCCCGTGATCTTTCACCTGGCGGCATGTCAGGAGCAGACAGCTGGATGCACCATGAAATAGTGGCACGTGTCTTCCTGTCAGTTAGGCAATACCCATTAATGTAGGCAAATACCTACCTCACTTACAGCAGTTTTTGGCACGAAGTAAATATGAAGGAATGAGCACCTCTGCATTTTTCTCAGTTTTGGAAAAACTTTCTAGTGAAAGGTGAAAATAGTGAAGTAAAGAGACACAAGGCAGCATGATGATGTGGCACAAAGTGAGTGGGAAAGTCTTTTAGAGCGGGTGAGGGGGTGGTGGTTTCACTGAAGAGGTCATATTTAAATTGAGTTCTGTAGGATAGGCAGAAGTCAGCCATGCAAAGACCTTGGAAAGTAAAAGACCAAACAGAAACAACAGCAGGTGTGAACATCCCAAGACAGTAACAACCTTCCCTGAAACCTCTGCTTCCAAAGACTACTTTCTACCATGCACCCATCTCTTCAAAGTTTTTTTTTTTTTAAGAGACTTTGAGTGTACTAGGAAGACTGACTTCTAACAGGATTGCTTATTTTTTAGAGGAGTTTTAGTACACAGGAAAGCAGAAGTTTTCTAGCTAACCCCACCAACATGGACAACTTCCCTCCATTATCTGCAACCCATACCAGAATGGTACATTCCTTACAGTTGATGAACCTATATTGACGCATCATTATCCTCTAGAGTTCTCAGTTTACATCCAGGTTCACTTTTAGTGTGGAACATTTTGTGAGTTTGGACAAATGTATAATGACATATCCATCTTACAGTATCATACAAGGTAATTTTGTTATTCTATAGATATTTTTGTTACTTTCAAGTAGAGGCAAGCCTTATGAATGTCATTTACATAGCAAAAGAAGAACAAAGAGAAGTAGCTAGTGCAGCTTCCCCTCTGCTTTCTTTCTTTGAGATCATAAAGATCTTTGACACGTGGAAGGCAGGTGTTTATTAACTAGGCATTTGTATCATAAACATGATTCCCAGACAAGTTGGAAAGTCCCAGAATTCTGAGTCATTGATGCTTGAATAGATATTTTGTAAGGCCAAATATTTGCTTTCACAAATAAAGCATTGATGAACCAAACAGATGCTTGAAATGAACTGGGAATATTTTATGATGTGCAGAAGGTAGTGCCATAATCTATAATAATTTTCCTTTTTTAAATCTGTATGCTCAGTCAAGAAAATCCTTTTTTGCCACCTCTCTTCATCAGTGCCTATGTGAAGGAGTTCTGTTTCTGGAAGGCAGCCATGCTCACCACTATACCACCAATGCTGCGTAGGAGTCCTGTTTCTGTAAACAGAAAAACATGAAACACAACTTCACATGGGAAAGGTAGATGTTGGAAAAACTTGAACCTCACTAGGTACCTTTGGTTTGTGGGCTGTCGTGCTGCAGTAGTGTCTTCTGTCACAATGTGAGTTCTACGAAAATTAGGAGGAATTCTGTTTGTGAAATATAATTTTGTCAGGAGAGGGATAAATATGTTTTATTTCTTGATTTGGGCTGCTGGAAATACAGCTGGGATGATTTAATAAATTTGTGGCACTTCAATAATAGGAAAGTATAGAAATAGAACTGGAAAGAGATCAGAGAGGGACAGAGAGGACCTGATGCTCCAGGCTCTTATTTATATTTATAAGAACTAAATACCTTATGTAGAGTAGACTCTGATTTAACAACAGCACATGGTGGGAAACACTAGCTATCTATGGGTACTTAAACAGAATGTGATTCAAAAAAGGAGAATAATTTAGCTTGAGCCAAAGAATTGAAGTTGGGTTGAGGACCCAAAAAGTAGAAATTATGGAACTGAAGAACCTCCTCGTGGGAAATAAGGTCATTTATACTAAAATAGACATGTCATGGGCTTACATAACTCCTTCCTCTCTACCCTAAACTTCCTGTTCTCTTACCTGGTCCTCACTGAAGTTGTCTATTTGGGCAAGGAAGTCCATTCTGAGGACTGGATTCAGCTGCCTGTCTCAGGAGGCTGGGGAGGGGAAAAAAAAAAACCCATGGTCGGATGAATGGATTTAGCTCATTCAACACTGGCATCTTCAAGACATTTTCTGTTGTTCAGTGGAATTAAATCAGTCCCTTCCTTGATTCTGAAGGTGCTACAGTTGTATCTTAAGGTTCATCTGCCGTCTCATTTGATATAGGACATCTCTATGAAAGCAGTGTTGACTGCTGGTCACTCAGACTCTTGTTTGAACACTTGGTAAGGGGCAGGTCAGTTCTTTGTGAATGAGCTCACTCTGATATTTACTGCAGTTCCATCAAATATGGACAGTCATGGAAGTACAATGTAATCAAGTGGTGAATTTTGCAAAATCTTTATTACTTGCAGCTCACTCTCAGTGACTATGGTAGAATTGCTCCAGGAGAGCATGCATCACTGTCTCAAGTGATGCCACTGGGCAGCTAAAGTTGATGGAGATGCTCTGGGCAATGGGAAATGTTTGTATTGTGACAGAAATCAAGTCTCCCTAAACTTCCACCCATCCAGGATCATTGCATCTTCTGGAGCTAAGTCTATCTATCTCCTCCTTTACATGACAGCCTATCAAATTGTGTGGACATGACAACCTTCTACTATAAGGCATTTTATTGTCCAGATGAAGTCCTTTGTTTTCTTAAAAGGTATTACTATGATGGCGTTTTATTTCCTTTGTTATCTTGATCATAATCTACATTGTCAGGATACCACTGACAATGTCTATATCTTTCTGTTTTTTTTTTTTTTTGTGAGATTAATGTCAGCTGAATATCTCATTCTTCCACTAAAAGCTTACAGAGCCTAGTTAGGGAGGTAAGCATGCCAGTCAGCCAAAGCTGCCCATCTTGCAATTTCAAACTTGGTTTTTAATGTCTAAAAGCAGAACTTATATTTATCTTTACTAAATTTCATCTTATTGGGTTTAACCTAGTCTATTTTTAAAACGTATTTAAAGATTCTATATTCTGCATCTGGAATGTCTCCCAAAGGCCTATATGTTTAAGGCTGGGCCTCAAGTCTGTGGCATTACTAGGATGTTATAGAAACTAAGATGTGGGGCCCAGTGGAAGGAAGTTAGGTCACTGGGGACATGCGCTTGGAAGCGGTTTTGAGACCTCACCTTTTCCTGTCTCTCTTTCACTTCTCATCGTCCGTGAGGTGAACAGCTTTCTTCGGCATGTGTTCCCTGCCTTGCCACAATCCCAGACAATGGGGTTGAGCAACTGTGGACTGAAACCTCGGAAACCATGAGCAAAAATAAGCCTTTCCTCTTATTAAGTTAATTATCTTAGTTATTTTGTCACAGTGATGGAAAGCTGACTAATGTAGTAAGTATAACTTTACCAAGCATCTTTCTAACTATCCATATTGTACATAACAGTAACTATAGTTGCCCCTCCTTATTGACTGTGAGCACTTTGTTGATTGTAGATACCACCAAACTGGATTGAAAGAGACAGAAACAGAGCCCTAAAGTATGGAGGAAGTAGGTCGAGTCTACACGATCACCAACTCAGTATTACAGAAAGGGAAGGATTCTTGCTGGTAGCACCAAGACACCAGAAGATGCTAGTAAGAAGTGCACTGGAGAAAACTGGGCTCTAGAAAGAAACTTATAACATTTATACTGCTAACTTGCAGAATTGCTTTGGACCAGTGCTGACTCTGTGCCTCCTGTTTCTTCTCCTTGAAATGGGAATGTCTACTGTGCTCATGCTAGTAAGAAGTGCACTGGAGAAAACTGGGCTCTAGAAAGAAACTTATAACATTTATACTGCTAACTTGCAGAATTGCTTTGGACCAGTGCTGACTCTGTGCCTCCTGTTTCTTCTCCTTGAAATGGGAATGTCTACTGTGCTCAACCTGTGTTTATTCCACTTTTGTATGTGGAGTGTGTGTATATGTGTAGATAACTTGTCTCTTTGGTTCATGGTATTCAGATAGTGACGGACAGTATTTAATGTGTTTACCCAAAGGACCACATGAAGGTGGCTTCATTTCGCCTCGGACATGATTTAGAGGGATGGGATGCTGGGGAGTCTTAGGAAGGGTGAGAATATTTTGCATGTGTGAGGGTTGTCAGTAATTGTGTCCAGAGGCAGATTGTGCGACAGGCTGAGACTGAGATGGCCCTTTGGTTACTCTCTACTCTCTTTCTCCTCCATAGACTAGATAGTTTGATTAAGATTGCAGACTCTGTATGGCACAGACCCAGGAGTTAGTTATGTATCCTTCTTCCTTGTTCCTTTTCTGTGCATGCCCCAATCACGAGACTACACAGCCTAGGCCATGTGGGCCACATGGCACTAGTTACCCCACCTTCTCTTCCCTTTTGTCTGACACTGTGAAAAAAGAGCATGCTGGATCCCGGGTGGTCCCAGTATCTTTCTTGCTTGTTATTCTTCCATTTTCTTCACCTCCCACTACTCTCCCTGGCTTTGGACCTGCACTGTGCGTGTAGTGGCAAGATTGGATCTGGGTTCTGTGACTACTTGAGCAATAAGTAGTATAATATAAAAGCTTTGACTTTAAGAAACTGGCAGCTTCTATGTTCTGTCTCTTTAAAGGCTTAGTCTTGCAACCCAACCACCATGGTAACAGGAAGCCCAAACTACCCTGTAGAGAAGCCCTTATGGGGAGAATCAAACAACTAGAACAAATTATCTTAGAAGTAATCCTTCAACTCTAGTTATAGTTTATACCAGTGGGATGGCAATGAGTTGGCCCCCCCAAGCCCTGCTCAAAATTAGATTTGTGTGCATGGTAAATTGCTGTTATTTTTTTTTTTCAGATTTAATTGAGTTTATTGGTACATTTTAGGGATACAGTACAGTTACATTCATTGTTGAGATCTTGTACCTCTACATGAAAAGTCTTGAGTCTTATTTTTTCCCCTTGCTGTTGTTATTTTAAGCCACTAAGTTTAGAGTGATTTGTTTCAAAGCTGTAGCTAATAGTAGATCAGGATCAGGCACTGGGCTAGTGACTTTTCATATATTTCATTATTTAATTCTTCAAATGATGCATTGATATGAACAATATTTTTTTCTTCTGATAGATGAGGAAACTAAGGCACAAAGAGTTTAAGTAACATGTCCAGGATCATACAAATGGTAAGTGGCAATATTGGTATTCAAACCAGGCAACATACCATTTTTGTTAAACCTCTGAAATTTTGAGTAGGACAGGGCCAAGGGCAATAGAGTAATGTAGCCATTTAACAAATGCTGGGCTGTCTCTATATATCTATAGAGCACAAAAACGTAGTTTCCAAAAAATAACTTAGAGGAGAAGACGCAGATATGAAAGCAAAATAAAAAATACAGTTCATATGATGTGTGTTAAAACAGTTGCATATTATATTCTATGACAGCCAAAGTGAAGGATCACAATGACAATTCCAGTTCTTTCCCTGTAGACATTGTACCTGCAGAGATAGATCATACATGATTTAATAAAAAGATAGTTTACTATAAATATTCTATGATTTGTCTAAAATATATAGTTATATATATGCTCAATATTTTAAATCAGTGGCCATAATTTATTAAACCTCTCTCCTATTAGATATTCCTAGTTTTTTTGCTATTGCCCCTAATATTACATTAGCTATCTTTATATATACAGCACACATATGTGAATATTTCTTTAGAGATTGCTAATCAGAAGTCATTATGCTTATTTTAAAAAATTATTGCCAGTAAAATTTTAATAACTGAACTTTACCAAGAATGCAAAAAAGAGCTAAGCACTCCACCGTTCTTATGAAAACACTACTTTTTTTCCCCCAGTACTGGGGATCAAACTCAAGACCTTGTGCGAGTGAGGCAGGCACAGTGCCACAAAGGTAAATCCCTATCCCGAAAACACTACTTTTTAATCAGCCCAAATTTATGCCACAGTGACTGGAGAATATTTTGTTTTAATTAGCCATTTCTTATTTATCAGATCATTTTAATTACTTAGAACATACACCCCAAAATTATATATATGATATATGTGTATGATACACTATATACATTTTTTTCTGCTTTTAAATGAGTTCTTTTTCTTGTAGATTTGTATGAGTTCTTTAAATATTCTAGACAATCACCCCTGTTAACCCTCGCAAAGATTTTCTCCAAGACTGCTATTCATATTTTGATTTTGCTTAAAGAGGATTTTTTTTTAAATGGAAGCCTTAAATTTTCATGAGAACATATCCTTCAGTTTTTGCTTTTAGAGTCTCTGGTTTTGGCTTAGTTAAGAACACCTCATTTATAGGTAATAAAGCTCTGGATATACTCCTAATACTTATAATTTTAAAAATGTTGCTCTTTAGTCCATCTAGAATTTGTTTTGGTGTATGCTGTTGGGGGGAAGGTATAACTTAATTTCTCTAAATAAATATATTATTGTTTGAACATTTATTTAATGATCTTTCTTTACTGAATTGAAGTTTTATAAAGATAGATAGATAGATAGATATAGCTGGGGCTTTTGTAGACTTTTATTGATTTGTCTTTTCCTGTTCTAATAGTAAGCTCTTTTCCTTAAGGGAGATTTGAAGTATGTTCTACTGCCGGGGATTTAGCTTAGTGGTTCCACTGCCTGCCTTGCAAGCACAGGACCTAAGTTCATCCCCGGTACCAAAACAAAACAAAACAAAACACCATTTATTTAGGGGTTGGGGATTTAATTCAGTGGCACCACACCTGCCTCGAAAGTACAAGGTCCTGAGTTTGATCCCTGGTACCAAAATAAAAAAAAAAAAGTATGTTCTGATATTTACTAGGAGTTACCTTTAGTTTTTTCTAATCTCCTGGATATCTGTTTGCATTTGTTTTATGGATTCCATTTGTTTCCTATGTTGGAATTCCTTCATATTATTTTTTTCTTCTTGATGGACTTTGAAATCAACTTGCCAGCTCCATAAAAATCTGTACTGGAAGTTGATTCAGATAGCATTGAATTTTTTAAATTTTATTTTGATTAATTGAGTTTATTGGTACATTTAAGGTATACAGTACAATTACCTTCATTATTGGGAACTTGTACCTTTACATGACAGGTCTTGGTTCTCATTTTTTCCCCTTGTCCCTGCCATCCCTTTACCCCCTCTTCCCCTCCCCCTTTACAAACACTTCATTTACAATTTTTAATATTCTCATTTTTAAATTTTCCCTTATTAGCTTTCCCCTATCCTTCCCACTTTCCCTACACCTTTAGCCCCTTTCTTCCTATTTCACATTGTCAACTATATTATTAAGAACTTATATACTATTATAGTTTATTCACACCAGAGAAACTATTCGGTATTTACACGTGTGACTTATTTATTTCACTTAGGAGTATATCCTCAATATGTATCCATTTTCCTATGAATGAATCTAATTTCTCATTCTTAATGGCTGAGTAGCATTCCACTTTATAGAAAAACCACATCTTCTTTATCCAGTTTCCAACTGATGGGCAAATGGGCTGTTTCCAAGTTTTAGCTATTACAAACTGTGCTGCTATAAACATGGGTGTGCATATATCACTGTGATATGATTCTTTTAATTATTTTGGAAAGATACTCAGCAGAGGGATGGCTGGTTCAAATGGAACCTCTAGTCCCAGCTCTTTGAGGTATCTCCATATTGACTTCCATAGTGGTTGCACCAGTCTGCACTCCCACCAACAATGGAGAAGGATTCCTTTCACCCCACAACCCTGCCAGCATTTGTTATTGTGTGATTTCTTGATAGCAGCCATTCTTTGTGGGGTGAGGTGGAATCTCAGTGTTGTTTTCATCTGCATCTCTCGAATGACCAGTGATGTGGAACATTTTTTCATATATTTACTTGCTGCTTTTACTTTGTCTGAGAAATGTTTATTCATTTCAGATGCCCATTTATGAATTGGATCTTTATATTTGGGGGCGCCAATTGTTTTGAGTTCATTATTTATTCTCAGCAGTAGTCCTTTGTCTGCAATGGAAACTAAGAAAACAATACAAAAAATAAATGAATCAAAGAGTTGGTTTTTTGAAAGAATAAATAAAATTGACAAACCCTTAGCTAATTTTATCGAAAAAGGAAAGAAAAGGCTCAGATCTATGCAATCAGGAATGAAAAAGCAAAGTCACAACATCCAACAGAAATCCAGAGGATCAGTAATACCTACTTTGAGAACCTGTACTCTAACAAAATGGAAAACACAGAAGAAATGGACAGATTTTTAGATACTTACGAATTACCAAAGTCAAAGAAGATACAAACATTTTAAACACCCCAATTACAATCAGTGAAATTGAAAATGTACCTAAAAATTTACCAACAAAGAAAAGCCCAGGTCCTGATGGATTCACTGCTGAATTTTACAAGACATTTAGAGAAGAACTACTGCCTTTACTCTTCAAACTTTTCAGTGAAATTGAAAGGGAAGCAATACTTCCAAACTCATTCCTGGAAGCAAGTATCACTTTGATTCCAAAGTCAGGGGGAGATGCATCTAAAAAAGAGAACTACAGGCCAATCTCCTTCATGAATATAGATGCAAAAATCCTTAATAAGATACTAGCAAACAGAATTTAGAGGATCATCAAGAAGATCATACATCCTGACCAAGTTGGATTTATTCCAGGGATGCAAGGATGGTTCAACATACATAAGTCAATCAGTGTAATATACTATATTAACAAAGTCAAGGACAAGAACCACATGATCCTCTCAATAGATGCAGAAAAAGCATTTGACAAAATTCAACACCCATTCGTGACAAAACCCTGCAAAATATTGGAATAGATGGTCTATATCTCAACTTAATAAAGGCTATCTATGAAAAACCAACAGCCAACATCATATTAAATGGCCAAAAACTGAAAACCTTCACGATAAAATCAGGAACAAGGCAAGGATGCCCAGTATCACCACTCCTCTTCTACATAGTTTTGGAAACATTAGCCATAGCAATTAGACAAGAGAAAGAAATTAAAGCAATAAAGATAGGAAAGGAAGAAGTTAAATTGTCATTATTTGCTAATGATATGATACTCTACATTGAAGACCCAAAAAACTCTACCAAAAGACTTCTAGCATTGAATTTATAAAATAATTTGGGGAGAACTGATATCTTTATAATTTAAAATTTTCTCATTCAAAACAACTTTATTTGAATTATTGAAAAACAGTATCATTTTATTTTATAACAGACAATTCTAATCTTAGCTGTCTAAATTAATAATTGTATCTCTCCCTGAGAGACTGATTTAGTGTTGTAGTGTTTCCAATATAAAAATCAAGCACACTTTTCATTAGGCTTATTCCAAGGTCTGTTATGTATTTGTTGTTGATATTAATCATATTCCTAAAAATATCAGAGGTATGAGTTAGAGTCCTAGCTTATGCCTTACAGATTATACCAGATGGATTCAAAAGAACTAAATACAAAAAACTGTAAGAGTAGTCAAAGAAAATATGAGATATAATCAATTTGTTATTTATTGTGTATAAGTGAGCTATTGATTTTGTATCTGAATTTATTATTTTTAATAGTATTTCTGTCATTTCTCTTGGAATAGCAATTTGTGTACAAGTTGGAAAAATTTAATCTGTTTTCTTTGTAGTTTGCATCTCATTTCTTTCTTTTTAGAGAGGAATGATGGTAATTTTGATAGTGTGTAGAGTTCTGTTCTTGACCTTAATAGAAACTGTCTGTATACAAAATAAAGCTAGCTATGTATAGCCTAAAGGCACCTTTGTGCATTTTCAGACACATGTGATTTAAGATTATCATTTGCTTCAAGGAATAAAAGTCTCCATAATGTTACTTTATTTTAAGGAATCAGACTCTGTCTTTTCAGTATTTATAAGTGTATTATTGATATATTTCCTACATCTTAAATCGTTATGATTAATTCATGTTTTTGATATAAAACCATGCACTTAAGATAGTCAGCTTTACATTTATTTAAGTTTACATTTTTATTTATATATTCATATTTATTGAACAAAATTTGACATTTAGAGAAATGTCTTTTTTCTCCTCATTGTTATCTTGTTAACTACTATTTAGAATCATTGGATATTTACTTTGATTTCATTCCCCAAAGAAAATCAGAACCTTAGCACATTTTCACTTCATCCTCTCT